TTTAAATGTGCAAAAGCATTCCTGGTCCCTGCAGAGACCTGGGCCTCCAGGTTCAAAGTTGAGTCCAAGAGTACCCCCAAACTGCGAACCTGCATCTTCAGAGGGAGTGTGACACCATCTAACACAGGTTGGATCCCTGTTCCCTGACCTGCCTTCTGAATGACCAGGAGTACCTCTGTCTTAAGTTTCAACTTGTTTGCCCTCATCCAGTCCATTACTGATGACAGGCACTGGTTTAAGACCAGGACAGCCTCCTTGGATTGGGGTGGAAAGGAGTAGTAGGGTTGAGTATCATCGGCATATTGATGGCACTGCACCCCAAAACTCTGGACGACCTCTCCCAGTGGCTTCATGTATATGTCAAATAACATAGGGGACAACACAGAACCCTGAGGGACCCCACAGGATAATGGCCAGGGGGTTGAGCAGGAATCCACTAGCAACATCTTCTGGGTTTGCCCCACCAGGAAGGAACGTAGCCACTGTAAAACAGTATCTCCAAGTGCCATCCCAGAGAAGCGGTCCAGAAGGATACCAGTCGATGGTATCGAAAGCCACTGAGAGGTCCAGCAGAACCAACAGGAGCACGTTCCCCTGTCTAGTTCCCTGTGTAAGTCATCCACCAAGGCAACCAAGGCTCTCTCTGTTCCATAGCCAGGCATGAAACCAGATTGAAATGGATCTAGATACTCCGTTTCATCTAGAAACCCCTGGAGTTGGGAAGCTACCACACGTTCCAATACCTTGCCCAAAAAAGCTAGGTTAGACACTGGCCAATAATTATTCAATATTGTGGGATTCAGGGATGGCTTTTTCCACAAAGTCCTCACAACTGCCTCCTTTAGGGAAGTTGGAATGCTGCCTTGTTGTAGGGAGGCACTGACTACCCCCTTTACCCATTCAGCCAGTCCCCCCTGGCCTGTTTAATCAGCCTGGCCTAGAAGGACAAGGGCCCAAGACACCTCTCCAAGAATCCTGTCCACATCACCCATTGGAAAGTATTCCTTAACACTGGACATACAGGTGCCAAGGTTACATTCACTGGCACTGTATCAACTGTAGCATCCAAGTCAGAACGGATCTGAGCGACGTCATCTGCAAAATGCTGTGCAAATTCTTCACAGCTGGCCTCCGAGTGGTCTGCGTTATCTACTTGAGGGTGAGTGTGTAAGAGACCCCTGAACACTCAGAACAGCTCAGTGCAGATGCAATGCTGGCAGCTAAAAATAATTTCTTTGCTGCCTGCACTGCCACAGAGTAGGCCTTCAAATAGGCTCTATCCCTTGTTCGGTCAGATTCTCTTCAAGTCTTCTGCCAACATCGCTCTAGTCTCCATCTCACTCACTTCATCACCATCAGCTCCCTGGAGAACCAGGGGGCTGGTTTGGCTCCACTCCGAAAGGACCGATTGTGTCCATGGCCCTGGACATTTGCCCATTCCAAAAGTCAACTAAGGCTTCAACAGAATTGCCTGCCAAGGTGACAGGAAACTCCCCAAGAACCCTCAGGAATCCATCTGGATCCATCAGCCTCCTTTGGCGGACTGTCCTAATCGATCTGCCACCCCTGTAGAGGCTCTGTGTCCCAGTGAGTCTAAACCTAATCAGAAGATGATCTGTCCATGACAACAGAACTATGGAAAGTCCCACCACACCAAGATCATCATCACCCCACCCAGCACACAAAACAAGGTCCAATGTGTCCCCAGCAGCATGAGTAGGGCCAGATACCACTTGAGACAGACCCATGGTTGTCATGGAGGCCATGAAGTGCTGAGCTATGGGGAGTCCCAGCATGGATGGGGTGGGGGGTACGCCAACAGAATCCCTATTCTGTCCCAGCTACCCACCTTTAGGTATACACACTCAAAACCTGTAGATTGTGTAAGAGGGCAACTAGTCAGGGGGGTTGGAATAACAATAAACTACGGCAAGTCCACCTCCCCAACCCACAGGTCTTGCCTGCTGCTGCACAGAGAATCCTGCTGGGCAAAGCTGAGAGAGATTAACCCCTCCAGGCTCATTCAATTTAAATTAAAAATTAAATTTAAACTTTAAATCACTGCATGTATGAACTGCCCTCAGAGTGTGAAAGGAATAGAATGGCTGCATTTTCTTCACAAACAATTAATTTCCCCATACAGTACATTATTGCATTTGGGGTGAAGATGCATGTTGAAACCTGGGAATTTTAGGACTCTTTCTCAAGCCATCAGTGCTGTTCTTGTTATTACATCCCATACTATGTAAGCACACCCAGTGCGACAAAAACAGAGGTAAATTTCTAAGTCCAATTAATAAAACACAGAGTAATTTAAGTTAAAAGCAGTAATTTCAACATTGTGTACTGCAAAAGTGCTTAGAAAATGAGAAAGCAACATGTTCATGTCCAACGGTCATTAAAGGCTTGCTGAGACAAATGGGTATCTGTGTGACAGCCACAATTTTAAATTATACTCTTTGGGTTTACTGCTGAATGTACCACACACAGAGATGACTGTGAGATGTCAGATGGTGACATGAAGCATGAACAGGCTTTACATTACACACAAAACACCACTTTTGTGAACACTGTGTAAAATAAAATGTGGATAAGCATATTTCTGTTTATATCACAAACTTTTGAATGTAACACCCTGTGGTTCCCACGGGCCAAGTTAACAGAATGACTCAAAACTATAGCTGAGGGAACCAGAAACAATGAGTGGGCCCTGGATTAAAAAAGAAAGATAGCAGCCTCAGCTAAAAGAATTGTTGGATAAAAACAGAAGAGGAGGTTGTGATAGAATTGTTTCTTCTTTAAAAACAACAACAACAACTCATATGTTGTCCAGAGGAGGGTGACTAAAATGGTGAAGGGTCTAGAAACCATGCCTTATGAGGAATGACTTGGGGAACTGGGTATGTTTAGCCTGGAGAAGAGACGGTTAAGAGGGGATATGATAGCCCTCTTTAAATATTTGAAGGGGTGTCATATGGAGGAGGGTGCTAGCTTGTTTTCTGCTGCTCCAGAGAACAGGACCCAGAACAATGAATGCAAGCTCCAGGAAAAGAGATTCCACCTCAACATTAGGAGGAACTTCCTGACAGTAAGGGCGGTTCGACAGTGGAAGACACTCCCTTGGAGAGTGGTGCAGTCTCCTTCTTTGGAGGTCTTTAAGCAGAGGCTGGATGGCCATCTGTCAGGGATGCTTTGATTTTGAGTTCCTGCATGGCAGGGGGTTGGACTGGATGGCCCTTGTGGTCTCTTCCAACTCTATGAGTCTATGATTCTAGGTCTGTTGTTTATTCTGCTCATGACCTGAGAGATTTTTAAGTGTCTGCTAAATCTCCCCATAGCTATATCAGCAAGAAGGGGCTTTAGCAACTATATGAAATAAGAATCACATAGTCTTCATCATGCAGAAAACTTATTTACTTGTCACACTAGCCATGACATCAGGTAAATATTGTTTGTTTTGAATCGGCATGATCATCTCTCAGCTTCTGGTCTACATTTTTGGAAAAGATGGTTGTGAGGCTGAGCTGTCATTAGATGGCAGCATTTATTACCAGTAGATTCCTACAAGTTGCAACCACTCTTGCATAAACTAACAATTTATACAACATATAGAAAGCTTTCTTATATGCAGTCAGACCATTCATCTATTGTAGACCCAATATTGTTGACAATGATTGGCAATAGCTGTCCAGGTTTTCACAGGAAATTCTATTCTATCCTTCTTGTTGTAGTATGCCTTCAAGTCATTTCCAACTTATGGCAACCCTGTCACAGGGTTTTCTTGTAAAGATTTGTTCAGAGGAGGTTTGCCTTTGCCTTTCTCTGAGGGTGAGAAAGTGTGACTTGCTCAAGATCACCTAGTGGCTTTCCATAGCTCAGTGGGGATTTGAACCCTGGTCTCCGGAGTCATAGTCCAATTATCAAACCACTACACATACAACTGAGCACTAAAGTCAGAAGCGTTCAGGCCATTGTATTCCCAGTTACCATGTATGGATGTGAGAGCTGGACAGTGAAGGAAGCAAACAGAAATAAAATCAACTCATTTGAAATGTGGTGGTGGAGAAGAGTACTTAGGATACCATGGACAGCCAAGAAGACAAACAAAGGGGTTCTTGAACAGCCCATACCAGAGCTTTCCTTGGAAGCAAAGAGGATCAAGTTGAGACTATTGTACTTTGGCCATATAATGAGAAGGCATGGATCACTAGAAAAAACAGTAATGCTAGGAAAGGTAGAGGGTAGAAGAAAGAGAGAAAGACCACAAAGCAGATGGATTAACTCAATCAGGGGGGTTATGGGGAAGAGCTTGCAGGATCTGGGCAAGGCAGTGGAAGATAGGGATGCTTGGAGATGTCTTATTCACAGGGTCGTCATGAGTCACAACCGGCTTGAGGGCAGCTAACAACAACAACACTATGTTGGATCTCTTATCCTGCCCCTTTTGTTGTTGTATGCCTTCAGGTCATTTCCAATTTATAGCAACCCTAAGGTGAACCTGTCATGAGATATCCTGTCCTACCTGGCTGGAAATGCCAAGGATACAACCTGGGCACTTCTGCATGCAAAGCATGTGCTCACTGAAGTATGGTAGAATGTCAGTATTCAAAATGTTTGGAAACACATCATGTTTGTCAAAGAATCAGGACAGTTTGAGCTTTCAGACAAGGGTATGATTTAGTGGTAAAACTGAATTTCCTGCCATGGAATGTGTAAAATTATCTACTATGACATGATCATATCAAATAAGAGTCCTGGATCTCCTCTTGGGAATCCATAAACAAATCATCAATGGACACTGTTTTTAAATGCAAGACATCCAATCAATCAATTAATCAGGTTGAGAGAACCATCTTAGGCAGCAATTTAGGGTGCCATGTAATGGTAGGAAACTCCTATTTGTTTACTTTTGTTGCTACTGTATTTTTACTGCCAAGGATGAGGAGATGTTTGTGGGGTTTTCTGCCTGTACATAAAAATAAATTCAATGGTGGTATGCATCTTGACTAGGAAACTGAAATCAGGATAGGATCATAGCGTGGCCAGCTTATGCTAAAAGTCAGGTAAGAATCAGGCAGAGTGCCTCTCTGACCTGAAATGAAACCAAACTAGGGGTGTCTGAGCAGGCATATTTATAGGGCAAAACATATCCCAGGACAGGCTTTGGGATATGAATGGATTTCCAGAAGGGAAAAATTAGCAATGAAGTTGAGAATGGTTGGCAATGACAATCAGTGCAAATGTCCTTGGACAAAGGAGTACCACTCCCAAAGGGGAGTGTACTTGGAAAAGGTCTGTTCACTTTTAAACTCAAGCTTTATCACCCATCATCACTCCTATCAGTGTAGATGATTCCGATCTTGATTATGCAAGTTCCGATTTTGACCGATCTATCCTGGTTACATGCTCTGAACATCCCTTTTTGATATCAATTGGATATTGGCACAAAGGAGGAGTGAAGAGGCTAGACCTTAGGCAGGGTAAAAGAAAGAGGAGATGACTGTTCAGAACCAGCCTCCTAAGCTGCTTTTTTCCCCAAATAGTTAAGAGGGGAGCAATTTTCAACATCCCAAGGGCTGCTTTTAATTTTAAGAACTTTATTAGGAAGAAGGTATTATTATTATTATTATTATTATTATTATTATTATTATTATTATTATTATTAATTTCACTATTGTTATTATTATTATTAATTCCTTTATTAAGAAGCAGTGATGAAGTGGCTCAAGTGGTTAAGACGCTGACTCTGTTGATTGCAAGATTGGCAGGTTGGCACTTCAAGGCCCAGGTGCTGCATGATGGGGTGAGCTCCTATCTCTAGTCCCAGCTTCTGCCAACCTAGCAGTTCGAAAGCATGCAAATGCAATTAGATAAATAGGTACCACTTTGGTGGGAAGGTAGACGACGTTATGTGCAATCATGCTGGCCACAGGATCACAGACTAGTCTGTGACAACACTGGCTCTTTGGCTTAGTAACAGAGATGAGCCCCGGACCCTATGGTTGGACACAACTTGACAACCTTGTCAACAGGGAATACCT